TTTACTTGTCAAGTGATTAGTAATTTATCATAAGATTTATAAAAATATATATATAAGTTAGAACATACCATTTTGTTTTCTTCAAAAAGGGTTTATTTGACTTTTTTAAAAAGGATAAGACCTATTTAATTTTTTTTCAAAAGTCTAGGAGGGCGAGTGCCCCCTTTCACCCCTTGCTCCATCCTGATTGCACTACTTTTAATTGTTGATAAAAAGTGAGTTTTGTGCAAGGTATATTGCATTTCAATTTTCCTTTAGTTGAAATACTACATACTGGTTTGTAAACCATATTCTAGGCTCCATTTGGAAATGCTTTAAACAAATATTTTTACACATCTATTAAAAATATAGATTCATTATTTTAAATTAATTTTCATTAATATTTTATTTATTTTTAGTCATTTTAATTAATATTTTATATATTTTAAAATAGTAAAAACTATAAAACCTAACCTAAAACTACACTCCTAAACGAAACCTTAGTTCGTACACTATTTTTTTGGCCGGTAAAGCTGAAAGATTATATATGATTGGTGTGGAACATACTTCGCTTCGTACCTTTTGGGGTGTTTGGTTGGGAACAATTTTTTTAAAAATTATTTTATATTTTTACATTTTTAGATTACAAAAAAAAAAGGGGTAAAACTAACATTTTTAATTTTTTTACACATAATTTTTTACCACTAAATTTTTATTTTTCACATTTTTAAAATAAAAAGTTCTCTTAATTTTTTTATATAAGATTCACGTGATAACTTTTTTATTAATTTTTTATATTAATTTTTTATTAAATACAAAAAATTAACAACTCAAAAATATTCTAACAAAACTTTCAATGACTAGTTAATAAAAATTCTCTCCATAAAATTAATTTCGAATCAAACAAACCGTGTGTGATAACATCACCCCAAACCCTAGAATCCCACTCAGGAACCCATCACACCGAGGCCGACACACGCCTTCTACCTCAAAGCCGCCCACGAGTTAATCGTTTAATATCCACTCCAAATTACGGTTTTTAGTTTATAGTGTTAACTTGATTAATCTCTTATTGGTGTGGGTCTTTGTTTGTATACATCTATATATATATATATATATATATATTGTATTTATAATTAAAGTGTCTCTAAATTAATTTTTACACATTTTTAGAATTAATTTTTTTGAATAATTTTAATGATGCATTCTTATATTTACTTATTACATTTAAAAAAATTAATTTATTTAAATACAGATTTCAAAATTCAAATATTAAATTTGATATATAAAACAATCCTTACTTATTGAAAAATCCAACCTTAAAGATATACGTTTGTATATTTGTATAAAAGCCAGCAAAACCTTATAGCGAGTATACCACCCACAAAATGCTACAATCCCCTATTGGTCGAGCCGCTGCAACTCGCCTGTATCGCTCGCCGTCGACCGTGGCCTTAAACCCTCCCATCGTTAAGCTGTTTCTAGATAGTAGTAACAAAATGCCCCAGGCCCCCGCCTACAGAGCTACGTTAAGACCTTCTCGTGCTCCAAGACTTGTGTTAAGCCATTGGACACTTCCATATATCTCACATTGACCACCTATGCCCATGTCGTTAGTGTGGAGGGACCACCCCGGTGGTGATTGACGCTGTCGACATCAAGGATAAACTCTAGCTACCGGCTACCCTATTAGAAGCTTAAAGTCAGAAGAGACGAAAAATACTTGGAGAAGAATTAATCATCCCCATGCCAAAAATTCTTAATAGACGTAACCCATCATGGCGCATCATCCCTTCCAAACAAAGCTACATTGGAAAGGAACATCTATAACTTTCATCAACTATAATCAAACTATATGATCCATCCAATTCTTTATTGAAATCTTCTTCCATCCGTTGGCTCCAAATTGTTGTATTGTGGTACCAACGCAATTGCTCAGAGTAGGCACAGCCACATTCTAGAACCCTATTGATCCCCACAACAACAAAGTTAAAAAACAAAAAGGAAGAACTTGCCATTTCTTTGTATAGCGTCTTGGAGCATATACCTACAAATATGGAAAGTAATTAGTGGTCCAGCACTTACTCAAGCCATTAATTCTTTTCTCTTCTACAACTCAAGCTAGATCTACAACAAACAAAGGTTCACTAGTTCTTTAAGTTGCACAAGTCCCCACCCATACCCACTTGGTTTTTCAATGTGTCAAGGGTTTGAGCATCGAGGGAAAGAATGGCGTGTCGAGTTGCAGTTCCCAGCACCAAAGGCGATGGTCCCCACTCCCCACCGCCATGAAGATTGAAGGCAACAGCTGATCATAAAATAAGTCCAGCTGCCGAGTTCTCATGCCAGCCATTCCACTCGACCCTGTTAAGTGGCTGTCTCTTCCCTACTTTTTGGTTGCACGAGATTATGATCCCTAACTCCGTTCCACTCTTAGTTAAAGGGATATACACCCAAAAAAAAAAAAA